ACACACACACACACACACACACACACACACACACACCCCCTAATAAATCCCAAATTCCTCTCTTTTAATTCATCCAATAAAAATCCAATTGATACCCATTTAATGTATTATTTTCTTCAAAGCATGTCCTTTACTTTTCAAAGTATAAACTTTAATCTCCAAACTTTGCCTCCAATAATTTAGTTCCTGTACTTTGGATTTTTGCCATTTTCCAGCCATTTTTCATTATTTTCTTCAATTCTTCATTAAACATAAAATTTTACCTACAAAACATAATTTAACATAAATTAGGTATAATCGAATTCAAAAGATAATAAAATATCATGATTTAGAGTCTCGAATAAGTATAAAAATTACACTTATAACACCCCCAAACTTAACTTTTTGTTTGTCCTCAAACAAAGCATAATCTAACAAATATACAAACAAGCAATGCTAATTACCTAATCGGTGGCCAGTCAATGAAGCAAAGCAAAAAGATTTAGTTAGCTAACATGACTTTTTATCTCAGGATGGAAATCAGAATATTAAATCTAATCACAGTTTCAAAATCACAATATAAAAATTAAAACCTATTTTTTCAATGTAAAATCGACGTGTGTGTGTGAAGAATTAAGCGTAGCATTATGAATTCATAAATTGTTTCAATTTTCGACCCTCAATGGTCAAATATATTCTTTCATCACTCGTAAGATTCACATACCCCCAAACTCATTTTTTTCGCTCTTTTCAAGTGTGTGAACTAAAATTGAGTTTTTATACTATCCCCACCTCTCTAATTTAGGCAAAAATCTCAACTAATTGCTAGTCAATATGTCAATAAACAAGGATTTTCCATAATTTGATTACTTCAATCTCTAAAACTTAACTAAGCTAATAATCCCTCATCGAAAATCCAATTTTCCCAAATAAGTGTTTGGGACATAACCAAGACATTTGGTGCTTTTTCTGTTTCTTACACCTGCATTTTCTGATTTTCTAATTTTTTTTCTTCAACTTTTTTTTTCTTTTTTTGAAGTATTCTCACCCTTAAACTTTCTAAATAACCAATGTAATAAGCTTTCAGTCAATGACTCCCAAGTTAGATGACCATAGGGCACCAGATTTTAAAAACCATTACAAGCTTAATTGCTTAAGTCATAAAGGCTACGAACAGAAATTTTGAAATAAAATAATATATTTTTTTATGCATTGATTAGTGCAATGTCCCTCATTAAACACCAATTTAAGAAAATGAACTCTAACTTGAGATTTTCACTCAATTTCATCCTATTGACCTTAGACAATCCACACAAGATTTTTTTCACACATAAAATCCTCATTTATCTCAATATCTTCCCACAACAGTGAAATCCCCAAAACTATTCTAAATTTGGTCTAAGGATGTAAAATTTTGTGGTTTTGAGTTTAACATCTATGGTCCACATACACAATGCTTAACTTAATTCACGTGCTTAATATATATCAAATTTCACATGAAAAATGCAAAAATTAATCTGAACATGCAACTTATTCACCATTCATAGATCAATTTATGATTCAATACATTACTCATTGCCAACCATGCCAACTAACTCACACAAGCACACAAAAAGAAAATATTTTTGAATTTGTTGAATTTTTTTTAGCATTCAAAGCAACAAAAACACCTAAAACCACATATAAAAAAAATGACAACTTCTATTTTCACCCCCAAACTTAAACTAGACATTGTCCTCAATGTCTTAAATCCTAAATCTGCATATAAAAGGGTGGAGAAGAAAATGATGAAAAGACTCCTCTAATATGGCATGTAATTCAACGATGAGCTTTCCTATTACTTCCGTTGGCTTCTTGGTCGAAATTAGTTTAAATGTTCTGCTACTTCATGTTCTTGAAAACTCAAATAAAGAATTAAGATCAAATAATTGGAATAAGTGTTACTTAACTCTAACATCTAATAAACCAACAAAACGAAGGCCTAAAGGAAAATTGGGTAGGGATGATGAATCTTAAATAAACTTAAAATAAACTAAATATCATAAACGTAAAAATAGAATAAATAAAAAAGAAAAATGCTTGGGTTGCCTCCCAAGAAACACTTCTTTAACATCATTAGCTTAACTGTAATGATGATTATTCTGGCTCGTCTAAAAGTATGGATGATTTTTCTTTCGAAAATTCTCCTTCCAAATACCGCTTCAANCGAGAATTCTCCTTCCAAATACTGCTTCAACCTTGGACCATTAACTTGAAATTACCCTTTTCTGGATGTTGTAGCTCAATTGTGCCATAAGGATATACTTTCACCACCGTAAACGGTCCAGTCCATCGAGATTTTAATTTTCCAGTAAGGGCCTTAGTCGAGATTTATAGAGTAGGACTTTCTCTCCCACTCGAAATTCTTTTCCTAGAATGAATTTGTCATGCCATTGCTTTGTTCATTCCTTGTAGATACGGGAATTTTCATAAGCATCATTCATATACTCATCCATCTCAATGAGCTGTTGAAGTCAGTTTCCTCCAGCTTGTTGCATATCAAAATTTTGTTTCTTCACTGCCAAGTATGCTTTATGCTCCAACTCCACAGGTAAATGAAAAACTTTTCCATACACCAATCGATATAGGGACATTTCAATAGGTATTTTAAACGATGTTCTGTATGCCCAGAGAGCGTCTAACTTCTTTGCCCAATATTTTCTTGATGCATTAACTGTCGTTTCTAAGATTTGTTTGATCTCTTGATTGGAGATTTCCACTTGACCACTTGTTTGTTGGTGATATGT